CCCTGACTGAATGATTGTATATTTGTACATACTGTTTTGTCTGACTGTATACATTTGAATAACAAGTCTTTTGGCATACAGACTGTCACAGCTCATTGGACATTGTTTAATTGCTGTATTGGCTTCCGCCAGCCCCTGTACTCTATAGTACTGTCTTACTGTTAAGCAGGCCTTCGGTAATCTCGGATTACTGGCCGGTTGCGGTGCTAAACCCATAGGGGCAGGTTTGGGTCGTGACAGATCTCTCATTTTTGCGGGGTGACTTATGCTATTTTGAAGATCATTAGAATCTCAATGGAGTTGTTTTTCGGTGACACACTCTCTCTCTCTTTCTCTCAATTGGCAGCAACGTATAACTTACGTTATTTCCTCTTTTATTGATTGTTTTTGTTTAGTGTTTTTTGATGTAGTATTAGTTTTCTACCTCATTTGTATGAATTAGTTTCCTTTTTGTTTTCATTATTGTTTACTCCAATTGGTTTAGTTTTACTTTTTTTTTTAATTTATTTTTTATATTAATTTTTTCTTTATTCCCCTTGGGATTTAATAATCTAGGAAAAAAAAAATCAACCACAAATTAGACCCACTAGCAAATGCATGTCAGGTTTTACAATGTTCCCCAGTTGTGGGTGAGTGTACCTTAGTTTGTTTTCTCTTTGTGAGCATGCAATCTTTTTGTTTTACAATGTTCTACAGGTTGTGGGTGAGTGTACCTTAGTTCGTATTCTCTTTGTGAGCATGCCATCTTTTTGTTTTACAATGTACCTTAGTTTTTATTCTCTTTGTGAGCATGAAAATCCTTTCATTTTTAAGAGTTGAACCTGAACAAATCATTTTTTTTTGTGTTTGAATTCTTAATATTATTGTTTCACATTTGAATTCAAGTATGTTGAGGAGTGCCGTCGGCATGTGTCATCCACTTATTCTCTTTCTTTTTTAAAAAAAAAAGCAAATTAAGCCATTTATTTGTGATATTTACATTCTCTATTTTTTATTTTCTCAACTGACTGTAATCCATATGGTTGCTTGGTTTGATTATTTCTCAAGTGGCATGACTTTGCTACCATGTTAGGTTTACTTACAAATGTTGATAACAGTGGTTAAATCCTGTAGAATTTGAGACTTGGCCAATGACGGTAATTGGAGCCTCCATTGAAGTACAAATATGTAAGAAACCTAATTTTTTATTATTATTTGAGAATGTGGATTGGTATGTTGTGATAGAAACTATACTTCGAGCTTTGTTTGTTATTTTTTTCCCCCTTATTTTTTAGACTCGATAACTCAAGCAGTGCTTAAAGCTCAAACAATTACATTTTTTCTAATTTGTTTTGTTATGCATGTGTTTCAGTTGAATTGGGATTTTAATGAATCAATTTGTTTAGGTAATGCTCTACATTTGAATGACGGGGTTTTTTTTTTTTTTGAATGACGAGGTTTTTTTTTTTTTTTTTTTTTTGCTGTCAATCATTCCATTCATCTTTGTAACAAAATTATTATTTTTCTTTAGTTAGTGTTTTAGGTGTGATTTTTTCATTTTGAAAATGCTATGCTCTGTAGAGTATGGACATCTATGTTGATTCTTTTTTATAATGAACTATGAAAGTGATTCGAGCCTTGACAGAGTCACCTAAGATATCGTTATTTTCTTTTACTTACTTCGTGTATAATGGATATCCATGTATATTTTTCCTTGCACTGTCTACAAACATTAATGATATTTTGATTAATTATTTTCTTTCCTTCATTTCGATTGTTATATTTCTATAATTCAATTTCTAATATCTGATTTCCTCTTGCTGCAGTTCATCAATTTTTGGATTTCTTTGATAATATTTTTCATTAAAGTTTTGATAAATATGTCATTTCCTTTTTACCTCTAATCATTAGTTTTCTCCCAAGTTTTAGTTTGTTACTTTATGCTATTTTCGTATTGTGCTATGTTTTTTGTTGGTGGTCATCAATTTCTAGGTTCTCGATATAATCAAAGGTATAAACCCTCTCATACAATTTTTCTTTATTACATCTATTTCATTACTCATATAATTTTGATAAAAGTTAAAGTTTTTGGTCTATTACTTATTGGGTCTTCGGTGATTATTGGATTTATAAAAAATTTCTCCTTCCTACCATTTTATAGTTATGTTTTAAACAAAGCTCTTTTTCCATTTGCATAAAAGATGGAAGCAAAATGGGACTAATGAGCAGTAAACCATGATAAAAAAAAATAGTATTGCTCAAACTTTTTGCTTTCATTTGCTTTTTCCACTAGATTATTTTTCTCAATCTTTCTTTTCTTATGGAGCTTAGTAAAGGGTGTTGTAGTAGTCTTTGTAGTTTTTCTGTGAGTGGTTTTGGTGAATGTAAAGTAGTGGAATGAAATAGAATGGATTGGTATGACTTATGAGAAACCTAATATAATGGCTTATTTGACTAACTCACGCACTGTACACTAGATTTCTTTTCTTGCCATAAGAAAATGTTGGCTTGGCCATTACACATTTTGGAGATTGTTGGAAGTATGTGTTGAAGATTTAAACCAAAAAGAAAATGTGCATAATGAGGATTGAAAAAATTGAAAGAAAAAAAAAAACAAAAAAAAAGGGAAGATAAATATAGATAAATCTCTTTTTTTTCTTTTTTCTTTTTTTGGTGAACACAGATTAATCTTAGAAACAAAATAAATGCCTTGCTTAAGACAATATATGTTGGTAAATTTTGAGTTACTTTGGGAATAACTTTGTGCTAAGTTTTGGAATCCCTTGAGTTTGGAATTGCAGAGTACAGGTTGGTATACATTGTTTGCTATTTAATTTTTAATTTAATTTGTTGAGATTGCAGAGCATTTCTTGGTGTGCTTTATGTGGCGTTTAGTAATTTTTTTTTCTTTTTATTATAGAACGTTAACGAGTACACAATAGCGCTGATTTCTGTATTTTGTTTAGAGGGAGTTGTTATTTTATTTGAGTTCTGTACAGCGTGTGATACAAGTAAAATTGTTACAAGTTCTTTAAGAAAAATAATAATATTTCTTTATATTTTCTTAGTATCTTTATCAAAAAAATGACACAGATTTTATAAATTTCAACATAATATGTATAAATTACAACTGCATTTTAATCCCAACATTATTTACACCGTACCTTTAGACACGGGCATACACTAGTGTATATATATATATATATATATATATATATATATGAGCTTGATATATAACTTGTAACATACTAAAAAAAAATGGCTTTTAAATGAAATTGAATGAGGGAAGGGAATGACATTATACATATATTTGTTTTGAGAGATAGAGGTGGGATTGGAATTGAGATGAAGGTGAGACCCACTATAAGTTGTGTTTGTTTTTGGGAGATGGAAAAGGAATTCATAATCTCATGAAATTAGAATGGGCCTTGATATTGGAATTGAGATGGAGGAGGTGAAGATTGTATTAAGAAATTAATCTCATGGGATTAGTTTTTTTATTTTTTTATCTACATGTTGGGCATTTTTTTTAAACATCAATATTTAATGTTTTAGTATTTTTTGTTAAGTAAAAATCATAATTTTATTTGTTTTAATATTTTATATTTCTCTTGTAGGGTAATAATTTAGCAATCCTTACATTAACAACTATTATCAAGACAAACACAATTTTACTTAATCCCCTCACTATCAATTCTCTCACTATCAATCCCCTCACGAAAAAAGAAGTGAATGTGTTTGGCTTACACCCACCCCGAGTTAGGGTTTTCTACCTTGGTAAGACTTATCTGTTAGGGTTGTCTACCAATAAAAAAAATTTGACAAATTTTTTTTTTTTTTAATTTTTAAGTTCGTTATGGATAAATAATAATAAAATTCACTCAATACTGTTTTTTTTTTTTTCTGCAATTAAAAAGGGCAAAAACAGACAATCACTTATAAATATGAGGGTAAAACGGGCAATCATGAATTCACTTCTTTTTTCCTATTCATTAATCAGCTTTTATCCCATCTTATCCCATCTCATCCCATTCAAGATATCCCATCCCATTAATCACCTTTTGAAGTTGTTATTTTGGTTTAGTTTTTGATTATTTTAGTATGTTAAATTTTTTGTATTTGAGAAGATAGTTGGATGTTTTTATAGTTGAATGTGATATTTGTGAGAGAAAAAGTGAAATGATTATGGATTCGATATAACATTTTGCCTTATTAGCTATTTTAACTTGTTTTGTCTGTTTGTGAATTGTAACCCAAAAAAAGGCTAATTCAACTTGCCAAACACCCATTTTGTGGTATTTTGAGAAAAAGTAGATGTTTTGAAAAGTTGGTAAAAAATTGACTTTTTTTACTTTTTTAGCCTATTTTGCCTTTTTGTAAATAAAAAATGTGAGAGGTAATCTGACTCAAAATGGATAAAAAGCTAAAAGTTAGGTTTTTTCTTTTTTTTTCCCTTCCCAAAATGGTTGCATGTTTCAGGTTCACCAACAACTAGCACTATCTTAATGTTATAGTTCAATGAATAACAAACAAACACATAAATCAATAACAGAAATTAATTACAAAACCAAATATATATTTATATAGACAAATAACTAATCTTATAAAATTTTATCAATTATATATATTCTGTTTTACAATCAACTTTCTTGTTTGCAGCAAAATTGTAATATAATAGGTTCAGGGTTTGTAGAATCTCACATTTAAGTGACTGACAGAACACAAGCAGCACCAAGCACTTGAAGAAGCCACATATTTTCAGCCTGCTTGTGCGAAGATTTGAAAACAAATATGGTATCTCATATCATTTTCATTTTTCATGCTTTTGAAAACAAATATATAATGAAAGGTTTGAAAACAACCATCATTTTTTATTTTTTGTGTGAAGGCTGTTTTTGAAAATTCGAAATGATTTTTTTATATTCTCTAGAAAGTAGATTGCGTTAGATTCCCCCCCAAAAAAAATAAAAAATATAAACAAAGAATACAGAAAACATAAACAAAAACAATACCAAACAGGCTTCTAAGAAACATCTAGCAGATGACATTCCAAATAACTTTCAGCATTTATATAATGTTATTGAGCATTCAAACAAGAACTACTGAATTAAAAACCATGAGTAACAGAAAACCCTAGCAAAGGAAAGGCATTCTGCTTCTCATCATAAAAACCACAAACTAGTAATTCAAATGAGTTATCAAGTTCCAGTGACCTTAAATCACTGTGAAAATTCTTATTTGAGTTTCTTCAACACAGTATTTGTGAATCACTTGATGTTCAACCTTGGAGCCTGTCCGCCACGTGACAAATTCCAATTCTTTTGCGTTTCCAGGAAATGAAGGCTTAGGTGGGGTCCCGCAGAGTTCCTTTCCTTATGATGATGTTCATCACGCAATGGATTCCTATAAAAATAAAACAAATTAAACTTAATCACAAGCGATGAATTTTTTTGAGAAAATACTTCTTCTTTGTGCATAAAGAAATAAGACCTGAAGTCTCCTGACTTTTGACAGCTTTAGGATACAAAACATTAGAAAGGAGCTTGCACACAGTATAAGTCAACATTTGCACATAATCAATTTGGAAGTCCGAAGTTTGCTCATAATTATGTTGCTCTAATTGAAGGATCAAAGTCTGTTACCTATTTTTGTTTGCATTTGAAGACTCATCAGTGTTTGTTTCTTCATCCACCACAGCAAAAGAAGCAGCTACCTACAAGATTATACATCCATGCAAGAGAAGTTTTTGACGGAAAAAGAGTAATTTCAAAATAGATGGAAGAATAAGGAAAAATAATACCAAAAAATATGTATAGCTGAAAAAAATTCAAGATAGATAGCAAAGCTTCTTTATTTGTTATCAAATTGGATTTCCTTTTCCTAGCTGAACCTAAACTGGCATGCAAGGCATTGCCAAGTTCTAAGATCAAAGTTTCATATCGGTGCTTTGTTTTGGTTAGCTTCAAAACAGAAAGTTTTGAAAATGCAAGGAATTGCCAAAAAAATAAAATTAAAAAAAAAATTGGAAATACACTAACATTTGGAAACATAAACTAAAACCTATCTACATGTGTACATTAAGCTCAATAATAGTAACTTGTTGTTAGAATTTGCCATCACCTACCACCTCACCTACTCCACTAAACCTAACCCACTACACCACTACCATCATCCACTACACCTACATCTATATAAGGAACCATTTGTAATCATCAATATACCAATCAATAATAATACATCAATTTATTTTACAATATCAATTTATTTTACACTTGTTGAATAGGTTTAAGATCTATACATCCATTTTACATAAAAGGAACACGTGTAGAACAAGAAATTAAAATGTTAATGCAAACCAAAAGCTAATAAAGTGATGTCAAATAAATCATGTTATCAAACACAATGTATATGATTCTGAAGTTTTGAAAAGATCACTACTGAACTAGGTTTAAAATTTTGGTCATTGGGTCTTGAATCTTGATGTTGGTGGAAAGGGGTGGTGTTCATCAATGAATAATCGTAACAAAACCTAGATTCCAGAAGCAACAAAGAGATGCAGCAAAAAACTAAAATATTTAAATATGTAATAATGAATAAATGAAAGTAATAATGGAAATCCTAGCTCCAAGCCTCCAATGGATTCAACATTTTCCTTTTCAACTTCACATCTCTCTGGCTCTCAATCAAATTCTACATGATTTCTTTCTTCTTGAATTTACATTTCTTGTTTGAAAAAAAAAAAAAAAAAAAAAAAAAACCTCAAGAAAATAGAAACAAACTTTTGTCCAAGTTTTCTAATAAGAGTTTAATCAAAATAATGTTTTAGTATGTTTCGGTGCATTTGGTATGTTCCAACATGTTTTGGTGGAAACATTTAGAATTTCATTTTTTAACTTTGTGTTTTGTATTGGCTTCCTAGAAAACAGAAATGTTTCTGCCATTTCGATAGAAATTAATCAAATGTTGTTCCTCGGTTGAATTGAATTTTCACATTTTCTTGCTCTCTAATATCCTCATGTTTACCTCCTTATTGTCATTTGATTGCTGCACAATCCGGTTACCCACAAACTTGGCCTGCTAATCAGAAGATGAAAAAAGTTAGTGACTCCTGACAAGTAAAAAGCACAAGATTTTTTGGGGGCATGTTAGACTCACTTTGGACTGTTCTATACATTGAATTGCATTCTCAAGGGATTGTTGGTACACTCCAGCTTCAAAAAGTGAGGTAATCTTCTCCACATTTGGCTCGTAATACCTGTTAGAAAAAAGGAAAGAAAAAAAAAAGTTAAGTAGAAGAAAGAAGAGTAAACAGATGAAATCACATCTACCTTTAAATTGTTATGAATTAAAGAACTTATTAGCAAGTATAGTTTTACACATACAAGTTTGTACTAATAGACTACGAGGAAATGATATGGATAAGAAACATTGACCTCATCTTTTCCTGTGCCTCAAGTAGCTGCCGATTGAGTTTGTAAAGTGTCTCCTCAAGTTCCTAGTTGAAGCCATACATAGATCAAATACTTAGTCAGTCAGTAATAAGCTCACTTAGAAGGCTGGCTTGGGGTTGGGGGAGGAGAGGTATGAGATTGTCAGCAGTGTTTTCAAACGTGGACCGAATTGAATTGGATGATTAAACCATTTCGACTTCAAACAACTTATCCAGGGTTTTGGTAGTGCCACTTCTGAGCAAGTCTAACATGGTTATTTGGTTATGTAATCAATTCATTCAACTAATCTATGATTTCTACATTTTTTGAAGTTAAGAAAATCGTTTTTTATAATCTTAAAATAAAATTCATCAAACTTTCTGATTGAGTTGAGTGGTTGAACCATTCAACTTGTAAATCAGCAAGCTTTCTGATCTGAGCTCCAGTCCAGTTTTGAAAACGTGGTTGAAAAGGGCTAACTAAACAAATGGATCTTGTCTTACCTCAATTCTGTTCTTGTCATCCAATCACCAGCAAGTGAATTGTTTATATGAACAAAGATGAAAAAGTTCACATCAGAAGAAAGTTTACGTAAATATGTAAAAACAAATATTTGTGACGATCCATCTTCCTACTTATCATTTTATATATATATATATATCTAGAGAGAGAGAGAGAGGGGGGGGGGGAAGGAGAGGGAGGGACGGAGGGAGGGAGACGCACTTTTCTATCTTTTCCAGCATTTCTGCTTCTTGCTTCAACTGCTTGAGCCTTTGGGATAAATACTGCAATTATAAAATTAATGTGCGATTTACACGCATGGGCAAGCACACACACACACACACACACACACACACACGGAGTTCAAATTACCTCTTCATTCCAAATAGGTCTGCATGCTCGGACAAATATCGAGGATTGAAAAATGAAAGAGTGAAACATAACTCAAGTAAGCACACAACTTGAGAAATATCTAAATCAACAGAAAAAATAGAGACAGTAACAGAACATACCCCCCTTTCGATCCATCACGTCGGTTAATAAAACGTAGGAAGACATCCTCAACCCTGTCAAAGTTGGAAAAACTGTAAGAAGATGTACTGAAGAAAATAAAATAAAAACAAAAAAAAAAAACAAAATGGGTAAGTGTAAAATGAGTATCTTTTACAGATCAACCTTCCATTGCTTGCGAAACTAGTCAATTTACCAGAAGGAGAAAATATTATAACACCAACATCTGTGTCACATAACACTGACAGTTCATTGGCCTTCTTGATAATTCCATCTCTGCGCTTCAAATATATTGCTTGACGAGAGGTTGGATTGTCAATTTTCCTCACTGAAAACTTGGTACGACCCATGGGCATCATAAATGGGGAAATGGGAAGAAAGGGAACAAATAAGAGGTTTTTGCTTGTTACTATTGAAAGAAAATATATTGAATTTATAGGAGAGTCATCAATGCATCATCTTCTTTAACCACACATAGAAGGAACATCATTATATTGAATTTCCACATGTCCAAAATTCCTGAGTGTCATCACTGGAAGATTTGCATAAGAAAATCTATTCATATCTGTAGATAGTTAATGCAAATCCTAAAGCAGAAACCTAATAGTTATGTATAATATCTGGCACATTAAATGCTTAGCAGAAATCTAAAAGTTATGTGCCTCGGTATGTATGATGGTGGAGAATAGACTATGGGAACTCAAAAAAAATGTTTGTGAGGGTATCATAGTCATTTGATCAAACAATTTGGTGGTTTTCATAGCATACTTTTCTATGAACTTTTGACATCCTGTCATTGGATTCTTCTTTAGAAAAATTCCTGCCAGGTGGATAATACGAGCTGCATTATTCAGAAAAAGAGAAACTAAAAAAGACGTCACATCCTCTCTTCTCAACACTCGTCGGGTCATAGATGAAGACCACTTGATGCAGAACATGCCAGGATATCTTTTCAAATGTAGTCACTAAAATACCCCTGAATTTCTTAATAACTATTATGTCATCTTTCTGTCCAGCCACCATGCAGTTCGCATTAAAGCCTTAAAGACGGAGAAGGGGAGGAGCAGTTATTGACGTAATTATTGTCTTTATTGCCCGTTGTTCCTGTTGAGCACTCTCTTTTCTTTGTCCAATTCCGTTTTACCAAACAAGACCGACTTCTTACCAACCCGCGAAGGGTTGAGAGGCTGAATCAGATACGAAGAATGAATCTATATCTGTGCACGAAAGCTGCTGGCCAACAGCCACTAAACTCTTCAACGCAATACAGTGGTGGTTGGTTCCAATTCAATAAAGGCAGAATGCCTGGTCGAAGGTCCAGTACAGTAGGTATATTAAACAAAAAGAAACAAAGCACTACAAAAGGTGCAAACCTGTTGATGTAGTATGCAATAGAGAAAGAAAACATAGAAGAAGAGAGAAGAGGGCCACAACCCTAACACACGGCCACAACCTAAAATACTCTCAATTTCATTATTCAAAGTTTTCTAATACAACTTCAAAGCATCTTGTTTGTAGGCTACTAACCCTAATCAAAATAAGAAACAAAATCTTGATAATAAAAATAAATAAAATCCCTAAAAATAAGAAACTAAATATTACGAAGATCCTAACTAAACTATAAATAAATAGATAAATAAAATATTAAAGACATAAATAAAATTATAAAATTGTAAACAAAGTCTCCACGAGCATCTGTAAATGTTCCGCATACCTGTACACACAATTTATACAAAAAATAAAAAGTATCCCTCCCATATATCTTCAAGGATATGGTAATTAAATTAAAAAACTTATGTCCTAATTTTATTTTTACTTTTATTTTATAAAATTCTGTGGGTATTATGCTAGTTATCTTTTAAAAAAGTCTCCATGAGCCATAAAAACAATGATAGCTTAGAGAGATAATACAGAGTCACTGATAGCTCTTGAGTGCTAAATTTGTACTCCTAGACTGCAGTTGTAGGACTCCAACAGCAAATATGTCCTGCATGAACCTAGGTCATTGGTTTGTATACACATCCAATGATATTTATAACTCATGATTTGAAACCGAGCTGAATCTATTTTTTTACTCTAGTAATTTATTTATTTTTCACAGCACAAATTGATTATTGAGCGCTGTTTCTCAGCTGCTTGCCACAAGTCCAAAACAACGGCTCTTGCTGGATCCCCTATACTCTTAATTCTATTCAAAGTAGGACGTGAAATAAATAACATGTATTTCTATATATTTAACTCTGCCCTAGTTGGAACTTAAGTAAATAACAAATTTTGAATCATATTCATTTTAAGAGAAAATACTAGTTCTTTTGTTTGAAAAATTATGGCTGCTTTTACATTCTTAACCATTAAAATATGATGTGCAGAATAAAGAACACAACATTGTACAGTGCAAGTTTTTCAATCCTAAAATACTTGAATAAAAAAAAGTCACCCTTGTAAGAACAAATTCTTGCTTGCAATCAATTAAGAGTGAAAAACATGTCAATATTGTTCAACAAGCATTTTAATTGAACATCTGTCCAAAATACCTGGACCTAACAAAATACACCATCTGTGCAGAATGTGTCATAATAGAGGTAAAGTTTTTCAAATTAATAATTTTCCAAAGTACCAGAATCTAATAACAATTACATATTGAAGAAGAAATGGCATCCATAAAATGCTAAAATTGACTGGCACTCCTCAATATCTTTCCAATCCAGTAGCCAGTAGCCAGTAGCCAGTAGCAGTTTTTTAACTTCTCTAAAAGTAAGGTCATTCTTTTTCTTCCTGTTATATCTACAACAGCAGGAAGCAATGGTTTCAACCCATCTCAAGCATAGCATTAGTTCTCCTTTTAGCATGTTTCTCTTGTTTGAACAATGGGAAGCAAAAGGGAACAGTGAGATTCTCAATCCAACCATGTGAAGGGATTTCGTTTCAATGGATGATGGTTAGCATGGTTCAGCATCGCAGACGGTTGCTTAAATCCGGATTTAAGTGGCTTCTCAATGAAATCCATGATATATAGTATTTTATGGAATTTCATGTTCTTAATGATCGTTGCTTGATATAGTTTTTTTTAATTTATTTTTTTATCAGAATTTTATGCCATCATGCAATCAAATAAAATGGCTCTCACATAGGAGTCAACTATGAAAACTCGAAATAATGTGTTGGAAATATTGCAAGAATTTCTGATAGAATAAACACTGTAACGATAATAATAATTAACCAAAAACAACAAAATAAAATATTAAACAAAATAAAATATTAATAGGAAAAGGTTACAGTAGCATGTAAAGTGGTTGAAGCACACAAAACCACGCTCTCCTTAGTAACAATACACCCCCTTTTTTACTGGGTTGACTGGTGTTCCTTTCCCAAGATACAACAACTTTCAAGTCTGCTTTTGTGCAGCAAAGTGTAACTCACAAACCAAGAGTTGCCCAACACTCAAATACGTATAAAATATAGACTCCCATAAAAACAAAGAGCAAAGCAAGCAACCACAGTAGAGATAAAGAGGTTTTGTATTTAGTGGAACTCATGGATTCAGAAGCCGATACAATATATATATATATAAGAGTTTTGAATCCAAGAATAAAAATGTTAACTAAATATATATATATATAATATGTCCAAATAGTTAGAGAAATAATAAGAATATGGGATGGTGGATCTCAACCGAATCCACTCCCAACATTCTCTCACCCAACATTTATCTGATGATAAGTCTAAGAGATAGACTTTAACCACACATGGGTTATAATGAATATATCAAAGACCAATAAAAACAAACCAAATATAAAAATAAATTTTAAATTAGGAACAACATAATACTACTTAGACCTGATCATACGGTAGGCTAAGGCTGTGGAAAGGTTCTAGTACAGGTCAAGGGTTTAAAAGGGTGAAAGAGAGGTGCTCAGATTTTTAGATGGAAAGCGTTTAAAATTAGCTTGATTTATAAGGTAATAAGGTTGTCAGAATTGCAAAAAAACTAGTTGCTGAAATTTGTGAGCAACAATTAGTGATCGCAATTTAAAGGCCAAATGTAAGGTTTTGGTAATGAAATGAAGGTGGCTATTAGGGTCTGTGAACCATGACTTGTCGATAACCATTTTGCAATTTTGTGGAAGAAGAAGAGAATCTAAATTGCTTTGTCCTCAAGACAATTACGCAACACCACACAACAGATTCTCAAATTCTTATAAAATCCACACAATTAAAAGAAGTGCAGAGACATTCATAAGCTGCTGTTCTTTTGTCTTAGAGCATTTTAATTCATCTCTGGCTCGTACTACAACACATGAAGGAGTTTAAGCACAACAAGCAACTATCAAGCTATCAAGACCATCCTTCCTTACAAGGTTAAAATCATTAGTGACAGAACACTTGAAACTGAAAGTTAGTAGGGAAGGATAGTGAAAGTTGTTCAGCATGGTGGACAGTGATTCAGGACTGTGTTGTATTGGGTCAACTTTGTAACACAAAATTCGACAAACTTTAGGTTGAATCTTTGGAACTTTATGATTCTGGTTCCGGGCGTTTCCACAGCATATTTCTTTAGAAGTAAGATTTGACTGACTAGCTATTCTTAAGCCAAGAATTGACACTCATGTATAATGGCATTGCTCCAGGACTCAGTCATGATGCATATACCCACAAACCCAATAATCTCCCAACCCAAATCTTACAAACCCACACTGCTCTAAACACGTATAAGTGACAAACCAACAAATGAGAGAACATGACGTACACAATATTCAATGATCAATAAAAACATTCAAAAAATTCACATTATTTTTATATCTGCAAATAGTACTGGAGGGTCGAAAATCTTTTGATACATCCAAAATTAATGAAAAATTGGTCATCCTTGTTCAAAGCAATGCAATGTTTTGCTATGGAGATTCTTATTCGCGAAATTTATAATTCAAATTCTGGGGAAGCGAATTCATGATGATATACACAAACTTGTGAACAATTATAAACCCACGTGGGAAGTAGAATTACCAGCAAAAGATGAGGCTGTCGTGGGAAGAAGACTACTTTCAGAAACAAGTGGGTTGGTCGCCGTTGGAGATTGGTCTCCCCCACAATTGCGTTCCGTGAAAATTGAGTTCAGTCGGGCATTTCATCGAACACTTTGGGTTGGGGTTGTATTGGATTATTTAGATATAATTGGAGCATGTAGGCCGTAAGGGGATGTAGCTCAGATGGTAGAGCGCTCGCTTAGCATGCGAGAGGTACGGGGATCGATACCCCGCATCTCCATACAGTTTTTGTCCTTTCGGAAAGGGATTGATGCGGATAGACGATTGGCTTTGTTTGTTTGTATTTTTAAATTAATTCAAATTACACTTTGAAAATTCGTTTGGCATCTCGTACTTTAGTTCTTCGGTTTTAACGTGTCTAAATTCTTCATCTATTATGTGTAAATGATTTCAGACGAGTTGAAATCAGTTCTCAAATCTTTTTGTTTAAATTTGTAGTCGACTATTTTTTTTTTGTTTCAGATGTTTTCTGATTTTCCTGAACTGTTTCAACCTTTTGCCCACTAATCTGGTAAATTAATCTTCATCTGTTATGTATAAATGATTTAGAGAAGTTGAAATCAGTTCCCAAATGATTTCTGAGAATTTGTAGACGAGTTTTTTTCATTTCAGATTTGTTGGTATTTAAAACTGTGAACTGTTGAATCTTTGCACGAAGAGATACCTGGGACACCCAGCCGGTCGTCCCCCGGGTCATCCGGCCGGTCGACTTACCGGTCATCCCCTATGGCCAGCTTGCTCTGCTTTGAATTGTTTGAACCTAGAACTATTTGAACCTTTGCACTGTTTGAACCTTTGCACAAAGAGAACCCGTACTTGAAAAAAAATTGATAATGTTATGTAAGATTTACGTTATGATTTATATTTTAAAATATTAAACTTAGTGTATTTATGTTAATTTTTATTAATATGTATTCTCAAAAGTTGTTGACTTTAACAAAATTTTAGAAAAAAATTAAAAACGTATTTTATAAGATGTTTGTACAGGCGTAAAAAATGAATTGATAGAAAAATTAATTAACACAAAATAATTGACATAGGTTTATTTTAAAATGAAAAAATTATTTGGGAAAAAAATTATTCAAAAAATTACTAAAAAAAATTAATTGACAAAAAAAATCAATTTTTAATTTCAGTATTTTAAAAATAGTTTGGTTATTATTGTTGATAAAAAATATGGATATCGATAAATGAGTTGTGTGTTTGATTATAAATTATTGGTTGAATTAAGTTTTGAAAACTATTTTCAAAACACATCACCAAACAAATTTTCACCTTTCACATGTCACATCAAATTTTTAAAACTTAATTCAAAATACATTTTCAAAACACAATTCAACACTCTATTTAAAAACCATAACCAAACAAATTTTCTACACTCAAATCATAATTCTACAACTTATAAATTCAAAATATAACTCATACTTTCAAATTACATTTACAAAACACAACCAAACGCAGGCTTAATTTTTCTTTCTTCTAATTTGTACAAAATAAAATATTTTAATTAAGGGCAGCAAGGGGGGAAAAAATTGTTTTTTTTTTGGGGGGGGGGGGGGGCCTTTTCGTTTGCCACTTTAATAAAGAACAAAACCAATCTCAAACTCTACATTTGGTAAAATTTTACAATTTTTTTTATTTTTATTTTTATTGATAAAAATTACTAATGAAAAGTGATAGTTAAATGTAAGGTCTCGTTTGATAAGTAATTTTTTAAGTCAAAAAATTAAAAAGTTATTAAAAAAATTAAAAAGTCAATAACTTATACTAAAAAATTAAAGATTTCTTTTTCTCTCTACATTTTGTACATCTTTTCATAAAAAATTTAAAAATTAATCAAAACATATTAGTTATTTTTATATCATATTTTAATCAAAAAAAATTACTAAAAAAAGTATTTCCAAACCAGGCGTATTTGTTGATAGGAGTCGAGATTGATGATTACAGACGTGCCAAAGGCTTTGTATGGTCTTTGTCTCTGACAGTAGAAGGGTGGTCAAGGAGTGGAAAGGGAAGAAACATATAAAAAATATTTTAAATCCATTTAATATCAACTCAATAGATTAAAAATCCGGTTCCGCTACCTCGAAACTTCCAAGCTTGAAATTGGTCAGAGTTCAAAATGATACCGTTTTGAATTTTTTTTTTTTATAATTGGCAAAAGTAGAAGAAGAAATAAGAGGAGAGGAGAGGACAAGAGAGAGAGTGAGAATCATCCATTATCAACCAAAAATCAAACCCACATCACAATAACCACAACAACACATATTTATTACCAAACACAGATTTTCAAAATCAAAAAAAAAATAAAAAAAATAAACACAAATCTACCACAATAACACACAACATCATCATCATCAAATACAGATTTTCAAAATCAAAAAAAAAAAAACCAAACACAGATCTACATCGTCGCCCATCGTCGCACCGTCACCCATCACCACCGTTCGTCCTCTGTCGTCCGTCATCGTTCGTCCTTCGTCCACCGTCTCGTTGTCGTTCGTACTCCTTCAAGAGACAGATCAGAAATTCTTAAGAGAGATATATCACTACAACAAAAACATACTTTAGTGGCACTATACTAGTGGCATATTTTTAGAAAATGCCACAAAAAATGATATTTAGTGGCACGTTTTTTAAAAATGCCACAAAACGACAAACATAAAAGGCTCTAGTGACATTTCAATGAACAAGTGTCACAAAACTACAATAAAAACATACTTTAGTGGCACTACACTAGTGGCATATTTTTAGAAAATGCCACAAAAAATGATATCTAGTGGCACGTTTTTCAAAAAAAAAAACCAAACACAGATCTACATCGTCGCCCATCGTCGCACCGTCACCCATCACCATCGTTCGTCCTCTGTCGTCCGTCATCGTTCGTCCTTCGTCCACCGTCTCGTTGTCGTTCGTACTCCTTCAAGAGACAGATCAGAAATTCTTAAGAGAGATATATCGAATGAGAGGGATGAGGTGAGAGACGCAAGAGTGAATGAGAGGGATGAGGTGAGAGAAGAGGGTGAAAGAAGAGAGTGAGAGTACTGAGAGAGGACTTTCGAGCCAGTCGAGCCTAATATATTTGAGTTACGAATCATTTTCCTTAAAAATCAAATTTCAACATATTTTTGAACTTATTAAAACTTCAATAATATTTGAATCAACTCGCTTACCATCTTACTCATTAATAACACATTATGGCCTATTATCAGATTTATAATAGGCATTTTTTAATATGAAGAGACATATAATTTTTGCGCTAATTAATATACAGAAGAACTAGTTCAAGCCTTTGTTTGGGATAATTTTTTAACCTGATTTTTTTAGTTATTTTAGCTTTGTTTAAAAAGTTGTGTTTAGAATGATAATTGATTTTTCTTTAAAGTTGATTTGATGATTATAAGAGAAAAAATAAAATAATTATAATTTAGATATAATATTTTGTTTTATTGACTAAAATAGTTAGTTTTTTTTTTATTGACTAATTTAGCCTCAATTCACATCCCAAAGTTTAGTTTGTATTATATTTTTTTTATTGTTTCTATACGGGCACGAAATATTCTTCCCGTATAATCCTATTGATCAAGCCTGCGCTCCTCCGTACGTCGTCGCTTTACTCCTTGAAAACACAAACGTGAGCTAGCCGGCGGGTGTGTGCCGGATACCTCTCCGATGCCTAAGTCAGCAAAATAGACAAAGACAAAAAGCTCTGTATATTCGAGAATCAAAGTTGTGTGTTACCTCTCCAAAGGTGATGTTGTGAGCTTTTATAGGTTTCGCGTGGCATAATCCTAGTAGGACTCTTACTCCTCCATGTAGAGTCCTTCTTGGATTCATACTCCTGAAAAATAATGTTTATCCTTCAATATCCCCCTCACTGCTTAAACCAAGTGATATGGTTTTTCCATGGTCGGACTCCAATATGACTGAGGTAAGCATAGCTATGCTAAGCCGCAGACTAGACTGGGATAACTCTACCTCGGTTCCTCCTGTACAAACCACAGCATGATTGGACCGAGCTAACAATTAGCATGGTTTTGACCGATCTAATACCACTGCGCCATGACCGGTATAACTTTTTAGTATAGTGACCGAGCTAATCATAGCTCTTTGGGACCGGAATAACTTCAAGCCTCATCTGGACCGGAATAACTTCATAGCCATTTTACTCAGTCCTTCATACTATAGCCCATAACGGCCCATTGCCCAGCTCGGCCCAATTTTCTTATAAATTACTCTCTCAATTGCCTATTAATTCCATCTGCGTAGCATGATTGGGATTATCTGTTTATCGACTGAGCTAACAATTTTAGCTTGACGACCGAGCTAAATCCTTAAGCTTTTCCAGTTAAGCTAAAACTCTTCAACTTTTTCAACCGAACTAAATCCACACCGGGCTACACCTGTTCGGTCAAAATGTCTTTTCAATCACAGCAACTGAATCGCTTCTTATCCCAATGGACACGTAACAGACTCTTATTGGCCCAGCACAGCTGTCACACCGTTCTTCGTACCTCACAACTTTTGAACAGTTCCCGCCTCTGGTCCTTGTATCAAAACAAAACTCTTTATATTTTGAATCACTCACCACACTATTCATTTCCTCATCTCTTTCTCTCGTTCTTGAGCTTCTTCAACCCTGAACTTGCTGAGTTCGTGTTCTTCATTGCCGTTGCTTCCATCTCTGATTTCGTCCTCTTGACCTGGTAAGTTTACTCAAATCAGCCTTGTTTTTGTTGTTTTCGCATTTGCTTTTACAATACATATATTTTGTGTGTTTTTTCAAAACACATACCTTTCTTTCGTGGAATAGAACCTCTGGCTTTTCACGAATAAACTGAAACACTGATTTTGATCCAAAATCACTGTATAACTGAGCTAAAAAGTCGTTTGTAGTTGATGTCACTCTAGCCAGGCCATTCAACCGAACTAACACTTCATGTTATAACAATAGTTTCAACAAGTCAAACCACCTTTTGTTTTAACTCAATCGAGCTAGCCAACCGCACTAAGTTTGTGTAATAGTGCGTCTGTTAGTCTCAACCACGGCCGAGCTATAACTTGGGGCTAACCCAACTTT